TAAATTAAACACATGTGCAAACCTTTTGGGGATCTTTTTTGAGGGAAAAGTTTTTGCCAACAAAGTGGCTTCATCATCCCCAAAAAAAGGAGAAAAACTTGAAGAATAGGAGGAGAATGAGGGGAATCAGTCCCCCAACCTTGATCGATTGGTCCCGTTTTCCTCAATCTTTAATAGAAAACGGCAAACCTGAGAGAAAGGGGCTTTATACCGTTGCAGGAGAGGTGAAGCAGTCAGAGGCAGTGTAACCTTTTTCAATGTTTTAAGTAGGGCGGCCCAAGAATTAGGGGAAGCGAAGAAATTTCCCCAAATTTTAAGATCCCAAGAAAGGGTGCAGTGTTTTGACAGTTTTTATATGAATGGTTCAGAGAACCCCACCCTGTTGATAAAATAACACATGTGGGAACTCTTGGGGAAACTTTAAATTTAGGAAACGTTTTCGCCACACAGTGGCTTCATCACCCATAAAAAAGGGGAAACTTGAAAAAATAGGAGGAGAATGAGGGAAACAGTCCCTCAACCTTTATCGATGTGGTCCCTCCATCAAAATTTTAATAGAATACGGCATACGGCTGAGAAGGAGCTTTTAACCGTTTTGGGAGGAGAGGGAAGCAGTCAGAGGCAGTGTAAAACTTATTCAATTTGAAGTAGGTCGTCCCAAGAATTAGCCCAAACGAAAAATTCCTATTCTTCAAGAATTTTCCTTTGAGGACGATGAAGCCACCGGGGGGCGAAACGTTTTTCCCCAATAAAGGGTACCCAAAGTTGCACCTGTGTCAAAATTTTTCAAAATGTCGGTTCTCTGAACCATTCATCTACAAACATAAATATAGCATTAGAACTGGACAAGATTCAATGCTCTATTTATTCATGAAAGAGATTTTAACCATCCAATTGATTTTCAAAAAGTTGAGAAAGTAGTATCAAGCAAGTCCATGGTCGACAGGAATATAATTGAATCTTGTTTCATAAAAAGCAGTTTTGACAATAATATGAATATTTCCTTTGGTTTATATAAATTAGATCCATTTATAATTAATAGAATTTGGGTAGAATTTTATAAATACACTGGACAAATAAATAGCTTGGGGGTGAGTTTTGCAAAGGACCTGTCCAAGTTGGCTCGCCGCGCGTCACGTGTTTAACCGTTGTGGGATCTGATAGTGAGGTGCTGGCCGACCCCTTATATAGCTTCCTTGGATGCTTCACTTTCATAGTTCCTTGATAATGTGAGTAGTCACGAAAGCGCTTGGAATTTCTCTATTTTTCAGAGTGGTTGTTTTGCATATTTTGAAATCACCTGTTTACTGTGATCTTATTGCATATATATATATATATATATATATATATATATATATATATATATATATATATATATATATATATATAATATATATATATATATATATACACACACCTGGAGTTTACCTGGAGAGAGTTCTGGGGGTCAACGCCCCCGCGGCCCGGTTTGTGACCAGGCCTCCTGGTGGATCAGAGCCTGATCAAGCAGGCTGTTACTGCTGGCTGCATGCAATCCAACGTACGAGCCACAGCCTGGCTGGTCAGGTACCCACTTTAGGTGTTTGTCCAGTGCCTGCTTGAAGACAGCCAGGGGTCTATTGGTAATCCCCCTTATGTATGCTGGGAGGCAGTTGAACAGTCTCGGGCCCCTGACACTCATTGTATTGTCTCTTAACGTGCTAGTGACACCCCTGCTTTTCATTGGGGGATGTTGGATCGTCTGCTGAGTCTTTTGCTTTCAGAGAGAGTGATTTTCGTGTGCAAGTTTGGTACTAGTCTCTAGGATTTTCCAGGTGTATATAATGTATCTCTCCTGCCTGCGTTCCAGGGAGCGCAGGATCAGGAACTTCAAGCGCTCCCAGTAATTGAGGTGTTTTATCTCCGTTATGCATGCCGTGAAGGTTCTCCATACATTTTCTAGGTCGGCAATTTCACCTGCCTTGAAAGGTGCTGTTAGTGTGCAGCAATATTCCAGCCTAGATAGAACAAGCGACCTGAAGAGTGTCATCATGGGCTTGGGATCCATAATTTTGAAGGTTCTCATTATCCATCCTGTCATTTTTCTAGCAGATGCGATTGATACAATGTTATGGTCCTTCAAGGTGAGATCCTCCGACAAGATCACTCCCAAGTCTTTGACTTTGGTTTTTCACTCTATTGTGTGGCTGGAATTTGTTTTATACTCTGATGAAGTTTTAATTTCCTCATGTTTACCATACCAAATATATATATATATTATATATTATATATATATATATATATATATATATATATATATATATATATATATTTTATATATATATGCAAACAGTGACTGTGAAATAGTAGGAAATTCCAAGTGCTTTCGTGACTTCTCACATTATCAAGTAACTATAAAAGTAATACATCAAAGGAAGGCATATAAAGGGTCGAGACCACATGTCGCCATCACATCCCACAACAAGCAACGCCTGACGTGCGACGACACCCGACTCATAAGAAAAGAGGAACACTGCAGCAGGCCCTCTGGCTCAACTATACAGGTCCTTACGACATCCCACTAGCAAAATATACTGCCCAAGAATTAAGATTATTTGTCCAATGTATTATTAAATTCTTCCCAAATTTTATTAATTATAAATTGATCTAATTAATATAATCCAAAGGAAATATGTTATTTTCAAAACTGCTTTTTATGAAACAAGATTCAATTATATTTCTGTCGACCATGGACTTGCTTGATACAACTATCTCAACTTTTTGAAAATCAATTGGATGGTTAAAATCTCTCACATGAATAAATAGAGCATTGGAATCTTGTCCAGTTCTAATGGTATATTTATGTTGTTTTAATCTTAGTTCGAGACTTTCACCAGTTTGACCATAAACTTTATTGCAAATTTTACAAGGAATCTTATAGACACATCTGTCAGCATTTTGGGGGGAATTCTTTATAAAAATTTTTTTTTTTTTACTGTATCAAGATTTTTAAATACAACTTTGATATTAAGTCTTAAGAAGAGAAGGCATATCAACCAAGTTTTCATGGTAAGGGAGAACCAACATATTTTTAGTTGAATAAAGTTGGGTGTCCCTTTTTGGATTGTAAAAAGTATTTCTAGCAATTTTAAAAGATTTATCAATTACGTTTCTTGGGTGTTTTAGATCATTAGCTATTTCATAAATTTTGGATATTTCTTCATCTATGAACTCTGGACTACAAATACGTAAAGCTCTCAAAACATTGATGAGAAAACAGACAGTTTAACTCTATCTTGATGTGAAGAACAATAGTGTACATTGGAACAGTTATTTGTAGGTTTTCTGTAAATTTTAAATTTGAATTCATTATTACTCTTAATAATTAAAACATCTAGAAAAGGCAATGAGTTATTTTATAGATTGGGCTAAGCTATTTAATTTGCCAAGGAAATGGTGTATATCTACATTCTTGGGCATAAGACATAAAATATCATCAACATATCTGAACCATTTTGCTCCATTAGGGAGGATTGTGTTAAGCAACCTTGTTTCAAAAAACTCCATGTATAGGTTACTGAGAGCAGGTGAAAGAGGATTTCCCATTGTCATACCAAACTTCTGAGTGTAAAACTTATTAAATACAAGTTTTGCATCAACAATGCAAAGTTTAATAAGTTTAATGATAGTAGGAACTGGCAATGGTAAATCATAATTAACGAGTTCTTCAGATAAGAAACTTAATAAATCATCAACAGGAACTTTCGTAAACAAGGAAGTAACATCAAAACTAACCATGTTAAAATCATTTAAGTCAGTCAAGGAGCTTAATTTATCAACTAAATCTATGTTGTTTTTAATATTGAAGTTAGAAATTTTGCCAACAATAGGGCTCAAAATATCGACAAGCCATTTGGATAATTTATATGAAACTGATCCTATGGAGCTAATAATTGGTCTGACTGGATTCCCTGGTTTGTGTGTTTTTATTAGTCCATACATGTAAGGTAAAGATGGATTAGTGGAAGTAAATTGTTTGACTAATTCATCTTTGCCTTTCAGTAGAAGTTTTATTGTTTTATTGAAATTGCTGTTAACGGTTTCTACTTGGAGTTTACCTGGAGAGAGTTCCAGGGGTCAACGCCCCCGTGGCCCAGTCTGTGACCAGGCCTCATGGTGGATAAGAGCCTGATCAACAAGGCTGTTACTGCTGGCTGCATGCAATCCAACGTACAAGCTACAGCCTGGCTGGTCAGGTACCGACTTTAAGTGCTTGTCCAGTGCCAGCTTGAAGACTGCCAGGGGTTTATTGGTAATCCCCTTTATGTATGCTGGGAGGCAGTTGAGCAGTCTTGGGCCCCTGACGCTGTATAGTCCTTGTGACTTAGCGCTTCTTTTTTTGATTATAATAATAATTGGGCCCCTGACACTTACTGTATTGTCTCTTAACGTGCTAGTGACACCCCTGCTTTTCATTGGGGGAATGTTGCATCGTCTGCCGAGTCTTTTGCTTTCAGAGAGAGTGATTTTCGTGTGCAAGTTTGGTACTAGTCCCTCTAAGATTTTCCAGGTGTATATAATCATGTATCTCTCCCGCCTGCGTTCCAGGGAATACAGGTTCAGGAACTTCAAGCGCTCCCAGTAATTGAGGTGTTTTATCTTCGTTATGCACGCCGTGAAGGTTCTCTGTACATTTTCTAAGTCAGCAATTTCGCTTGCCTTGAAAGGTGCTATTAGTGTGCAGCAATATTCCAGCCTAGATAGAACAAATGACCTGAAGAGTGTCATCATGGGCTTGGCATCCCTAGTTTTGAAAGTTCTCATTATCCATCCTGCCATTTTTCTAGCAGATGCGATTGAGATCCTCCGACATGATCACTCCCAGGGATTCTTTCTGACCTTAGAATAGGTTTCAGTATCATCTAAGAGATTATTAATTTTTTCTTGGTAATCAAGAATATATATATATATATATATATATATATATATATATATTATATATATATATATATATATATATATATTCTGGTGGTAGTAGTGGTAGAACCAGTGTTATGTGTTGGTAGTTGTGGTAATGCTATTGGTTGTACTATCAGTGTTGAGTTTGGGTAGTGTCAGTGGTGGTAGTGTCAGTGGTAATCATCATCAGTAGCTGGGAGAGACTAGTGCGGTGACCATCCTCACCTGGGTTGAAGTTGCGCCAGTACAACACCCTCTCGTCATCGGCAATGTTACACAGTGGTGAGGTGGCAGTGGCCCAGGCACAGTTGTTGTACCACCAGCCTCCACCACGGTGCACAGCACAGTTCCCTGTGGAGTGTAAGATCTCAGATAATTATTATTATTATAATTATTATTATGATTTTATTACAATAAAAATTAAAGAAAAATGAAAATAAAACATAATAATTCACTAATAATAATAACAACAACAACATTAATACACATAGCCAGACAGTGATAATTGTACATAGTGAAGGTCACAATAATTACAAGATACTTTGTTGTAAACCCTTAAAGGATCACAATGGAAATAAGTTACTCTGACTTTTTTGGGTTATCCCAGGTTCTCTACACATATGCTGCTATGTATGATAATTCTATGTAACTGTATTTGTGTGTACCTGAATAAACTTGCTTATTCATCACTTACCATCTGACTCGTCATTGTCACGGTCCAACGTGGTGAAACTCCTGCCGTTTATGTCAATCGCAAGTGCATCACCAAGTGTATTGGTGCTGGTGCTGGTGTAGCCTCCCACTGTGAGTTTATACCTGAGGGAGAGATGATTGTTGATTATCACCAACACTGAACATGTGGTAACAACTGCTAGCTGAGGGAGAGATAATTGTTGATTATCACCAACACTGAACATGTGGTAACAACTGCTAGCTGAGGGAGAGATAATTGTTGATTATCACCAACACTGAACATGTGGTAACAACTGCTAGCTGAGGGAGAGATAATTGTTGATTATCACCAACACTGAACATGTGGTAACAACTGCTAGCTGAGGGAGAGATAATTATCACCAACACTGAACATGTGGTGACAACTGCTAGCTGAGGGAGAGATAATTGTTGATTATCACCAACACTGAACATGTGGTAACAACTGCTAGCTGAGGGAGAGATAATTGTTGATTATCACCAACACTGAACATGTGGTAACAACTGCTATCTGAGGGAGAGATAATTGTTGATTATCACCAACACTGAACATGTGGTAACAACTGCTAGCTGAGGGAGAGATAATTATCACCAACACTGAACATGTGGTAACAACTGCTAGCTGAGGGAGAGATAATTGTTGATTATCACCAACACTGAAAACATGTGGTAACTGCTAGCTGAGGGAGAGATAATTGTTGATTATCACCAACACTGAACATGTGGTAACAACTGCTAGCTGAGGGAGAGATAATTGTTGATTATCACCAACACTGAACATGTGGTAACAACTGCTAGCTGAGGGAGAGATAATTGTTGATTATCACCAACACTGAACATGTGGTAACTGCTAGCTGAGGGAGAGATAATTGTTGATTATCACCAACACTGAACATGTGGTAACAACTGCTAGCTGAGGGAGAGATAATTGTTGATTATCACCAACACTGAACATGTGGTAACAACTGCTAGCTGAGGGAGAGATAATTGTTGATTATCACCAACACTGAACATGTGGTGACAACTGCTAGCTGAGGGAGAGATAATTGTTGATTATCACCAACACTGAACATGTGGTGACAACTGCTAGCTGATGGAGAGATAATTGTTAATTATCACCAACACTGAACATGTGGCGACAACTGATAGCTGAGGGAGAGAGAATTGTTCATTGTCACCAACACTGAACATGTGGTGACAACTGCTAGCTGAGGGAGAGATAATTGTTGATTATCACCAACACTGAACATGTGGTGACAACTGCTAGCTGAGGGAGAGATAATTGTTGATTATCACCAACACTGAACATGTGGTAACAACTGCTAGCTGAGGGAGAGATAATTGTTGATTATCACCAACACTGAACATGTGGTAACAACTGCTAGCTGAGGGAGAGATAATTGTTGATTATCACCAACACTGAACATGTGGTAACAACTGCTAGCTGAAGGAGAGATAATTGTTAATTATCACCAACACTGAACATGTGGTGACAACTGCTAGCTGAGGGAGAGATAATTGTTGATTATCACCAACACTGAACATGTGGTAACAACTGCTAGCTGAGGGAGAGATAATTGTTGATTATCACCAACACTGAACATGTGGTAACAACTGCTAGCTGAGGGAGAGATAATTGTTGATTATCACCAACACTGAACATGTGGTAACAACTGCTAGCTGAGGGAGAGTAATTGTTGATTATCACCAACACTGAACATGTGGTAACAACTGCTAGCAGAGGGAGAGATAATTGTTGATTATCACCAACACTGAACATGTGGTAACAACTGCTAGCTGAGGGAGAGATAATTGTTGATTATCACCAACACTGAACATGTGGTAACAACTGCTAGCTGAGGGAGAGATAATTGTTGATTATCACCAACACTGAACATGTGGTAACAACTGCTAGCTGAGGGAGAGATAATTGTTGATTATCACCAACACTGAACATGTGGTAACAACTGCTAGCTGAGGGAGAGATAATTGTTGATTATCACCAACACTGAACATGTGGTAACAATGCTAGCTGAGAGAGAGATAATTGTTGATTATCACCAACACTGAACATGTGGTAACAACTGCTAGCTGAGTGGAGAGATAATTAGTTGATTATCACCAACACTGAACATGTGGTAAACAACTGCTAGCTGAGGGAGAGATAATTGTTGATTATCACCAACACTGAACATGTGGTAACAACTGCTAGCTGAGAGAGAGATAATTGTTGATTATCACAACACTGAACATGTGGTAACAACTGCTAGCTGAGGGAGAGATAATTGTTGATTATCACCAACACTGAACATGTGGTAACAACTGCTAGCTGAGGGAGAGATAATTGTTGATTATCACCAACACTGAACATGTGGTAACTGCTAGCTGAGGGAGAGATAATTGTTAATTATCACCAACACTGAACATGTGGCGACAACTGATAGCTGAGGGAGAGATAATTGTTCATTGTCACCAACACTGAACATTTATACTGAACAATGTCATCACATTATATAATGTATCAGAAAATTATGATGAACAATGTATAAAGCCATTATAGTGCACAACAAATCAGATCACTTTCATATATTTGATAAATTATATTTCAGTTATGAAGTATAATGTTTCAGGTCTTTAAAATGTTTAATGTTTCTGGTCACTATTGTGTAAAAATATGCCATAGTCATATATAATGTATCAAGTCATTATTGCCTATAATGCAACAATTTATTATATTGTGTACATGTTGATTGTGGTTTATAATGTATTAAGTGGTTACAATGAATGTATCAAGTGAGTGTCATTGTAATAACACCAGTACAGTCACTCACTGATGGTAACTGACCTCACAAAGTGTCATTGTAGTAACACCAGTACAGTCACTCACTGATGGTAACTGACTCACAAAGTGTCATTGTAGTAACACCAGTACAGTCACTCACTGATGGTAACTGACCTCACAAAGTGTCATTGTAGTAACACCAGTACAGTCACTCACTGATGGTAACTGACCTCACAAAGTGTCATTGTAATAACACCAGGACAGTCACTCACTGATGGTAACTGACCTCACAAAGTGTCATTGTAGTAACACCAGTACAGTCTCTCACTGATGATGACTGACCTCACAAAGTGTCATTGTAGTAACACCAGTACAGTCTCTCACTGATGTTGACTGACCTCACAAAGTGTCATTGTAGTAACACCAGTACAGTCTCTCACTGATGATGACTGACCTCACAAAGTGTCATTGTAGTAACACCAGTACAGTCTCTCACTGATGTTGACTGACCTCACAAAGTGTCATTGTAGTAACACCAGTACATTTCTCTCATGATGATGACTGACCTCACAAAGTGTCATTGTACTAACACCAGTACAGTCTCTCACTGATGTTGACTGACCTCACAAAGTGTCATTGTAGTAACACCAGTACAGTCTCTCACTGATGTTGACTGACCTCACAAAGTGTCATTGTAGTAACACCAGTACAGTCTCTCACTGATGATGACTGACCTCACAAAGTGTCATTGTAGTAACACCAGTACAGTCTCTCACTGATGATGACTGACCTCACAAAGTGGCATTGTACATTGTAGTAACACCAGTACAGTCCCTCACTGATGATGACTGACCTCACAAAGTGGCATTGTACATTGTAGTAACACCAGTACAGTCTCTCACTGATGTTGACTGACCTCACAAAGTGTCATTGTAGTAACACCAGTACAGTCCCTCACTGATGATGGACTGACCTCACAAAGTGGCATTGTACATTGTAGTAACACCAGTACAGTCTCTCACTGATGATGACTGACCTCACAAAGTGTCATTGTAGTAACACCAGTACAGTCTCTCACTGATGTTGACTGACCTCACAAAGTGTCATTGTACATTGTAGTAACACCAGTACAGTCTCTCACTGATGATGACTGACCTCACAAAGTGTCATTGTACATTGTAGTAACACCAGTACAGTCTCTGATGATGACTGACCTTATAAAGTGTCATTGTAGCAACACCAGAACAGTAGTGAGTATTGAAATTTTGGTCATAGCTGCACTCTTCAGGCATTGTTCTATATATGTAAGATTTAATGCCAAATATGAAGTTGATTAGTTGAGGTTACTACAGCATTTGTGATTGTAATTTTGGAATATGTCTGTATTACTGAGCAGCGCAGTACAGTGTTTAATGTCCTGTATTTATGTACTCTACAGTATTGATAAACATTAACTAACTTTCTCTCTTTTCAGATATTCTGGTTACTTATATATTTTACTACTGAGATGGCTACAATGTCAACGAGAAAAGCCCCATAATATACATTGTTTGGCCTGTGTTCTTCCATTGAACAAGCTTCCATCCAAAGTCGATATGTTAAGGAACTGCTGGTGATATAAGTGTGATGAAGGAAAGCTGATTGATGTTTCAGTGATTATCAAGACAGCAGCTAAGGATTCTTCTGAACTATGGCAGAAATCAGTTGGAGACAGAAATACTATTCCTGTTCTCAGCCAGAAAACTATTAAGGAAAAATTTAGAAAATTGTACAGTAGTGGAATAGAATTTAATGAGAACAAAAATGTCTTCAAAAAAGCTACATTTCAGGATGAAATAAACGAGTTGTTTGATATTTGTAGTTGTTTCTGTTCTGCTGCTCCTGTCAAGATGTAGGTGCAAAATAAGGAGTGTGACCAATACCACCTGGCCTATAATTGTGATATTAAAGTTCATACACGTGAGGTACAGTTCCTCCTTGACCTGAGAGGCGATAAGGAGGTGAACATTTTCTGTGTTGACGTTGACAGTAATGAGGATGTGGGAAAGCGTGACGGTAAATGAGGAGCAGGATGCAGCCAGAGCCAGGAAGCAGCTGGAGGAAAGACAGAGTGAGCCGGAGAAGTTTCTGATTCTGACGATAATTCAAATGATGCCAGAGATAGCCCTTCTGTTGATACTGATGCTGACTCTGTCTTGAATGGTCTGACTGCCAGCAACTCACAGCAGAACAGAACTAGACTCCCCACACTGGCAGTCACATGTGACCGATACTTGATCAGTGATTATGCTGAAGCTGTCATTGCTACCGCTACCTTAATGAA